ACGGGGACTTCTCTTCGCAACTCTGGAACTCTGGGATGAGGGGTCTGGTGTGGGGCTAGGGCCCCTTGCTTCTCACCAGAGGCCTTGGAGATATCCCTCCCAATTAAAAAGCAAACAAACACCACACATGGATGTTGGACAAGTCCATTCCGTGCCTCCACCCCTCCTACTAGTCTTGATGTGCTTTCTTCTTTACTTTTCTAGTTGTAGGACTTCCATTCAACCAGATTTCAGGTGGTTCTGAATGATGTTTTTCTGTATTTTAGTTGTAATTTTGATGTGGTTGTAGGAGGTGGTGAGTGCTGGCATTTATCTAAACAACCATCTTGGTTCTCTCCACATCTTCTTTAACTAATCATCTGTGGAAGTTGTTTCCATGACTTAGCTATCCTATATAATAAAAGCATAGTATGCAAATTGTCCCCTCAACTGGAGTTCTTCCGGGGGTTCGACCAGGTAGCAGGTTGGCTGGGGGAAGGGAGAGAGGCCCTGGCCGACAGCCAGCAGTCACTAGGGACCCTACCAGTGCATGAGTTTTGTGCACTGGGCCTCTAGTTGTAAATAAAGCTCAATGAGCACAAGGGTACATTTATCTTTACCAAAAAAGTGTTTTTAAATTATTTGGATAGATACCCAGAAAAGGGATTGCTGGTCATATGGTAGCTCTTAGTTCTCTTTCTCCTTCCTCCTGGTTCATTTTTAGGCTCCTATCTTTGAGCTTTCTGATTCTCTGTTCCTTCTGGTCTGCTCTATATCCAATGCTTTCTAATGCATTCCTCATCTCATTTATTGAGTTCTTCAACTTCATAATTTCTATTTGGTTCTTTTTTATAATTTTAATTACTTTGGTAAGGTGTTCTTTTTGTTCATTAATTTTATTCCTGAGCTCATCAAATGGCCTTTCTTGTACTTCCATGAGTTTCTTCGTAACTGCAATCTCAAATTCTCTGTTATTTAAATTGCAGTCTTCCATGACTTTGAGTTTAGTTTCTGGGGACTTTGCATTTTCTTTCTGTGCTTCCATGTTACCTTGGTTGCTCATGGTTCTTCATGTTTCTAGGTCTGTGCATTCAAGGAAGGGAATGCTTTTCTTGTTTAGATACTGTTTTGCTCTTAATTGAGTAGGTTGCTAGGTAGGTTACTTTCTTTTGTTTTCCAGTAGGTGGTGCTATAGCACAAATTTTTGTTTTCTCTTACCCATGACATTGCTTAAATTGAGGAAAATGCCACAGAACCACTGGAGTGGTGGGTTTCTCTTCTGTGACCTGCTAATTTTGGTTAAGGTGAACACCGTAATGAAGAACCAATTTTGTTAGCTTCCATCACTGCCTTCTCATTATTAATGGCAGCTGACCCCACTGTGTTTTTGGAGTTGTCTTCACTACCTCTACCAGGGTCTGTGGTGAAGGGTGGGGCAAGGGAGGCAAGTTCATGATTTCACAACTCTGCCTTCTTGTCAGCAATGGCTGCCGGCCTGTTGTGCTGTTTAAGCATCCCAGCCACCTCTACTGGATTCTGCTGCAATGGGAGAAGGGAGGGACACAGCCTCTGCTCCTCTTATGCTCCAGGCTGTTGTGTGAGGGCTGCGGCCTGACTTATCACCACTACTGTGCTCGCTGGAGCTATGGTGGGTGCCGAACCGTGTTCTTTAGTCCCTGTCCTCCCTCCCCTACTCATTCCAATAAACCCACCTTCAGATGTGTGGATCTCTCAGGAAGACTTTGTGTGTTGAGCAAGGGATCCTTTGTTGAGTTATAGTTGTTTGACTTGTCAATTTAAGGAGAGAAACAAAGAAGCCTTCTCACTCTGCCATGATGCTGATGTTGGTGAAAATGAGCTAATTTCAATGATGGTTCTTAAGAAATTTTTGTCCACTGAGAAGTGTAAGCATTTCTAAAGGTCAGTGACTTACTATGTGAGGCCCCCTTACAAGATGCCTATGTTGAGGCAGAACCAGACTGAAAAGAGGAACCAAAAATCTTCTGAGCATTTTGGAATTTCCACCGGGACAGCTTCTATACTTAGGCCCCTGTGCTAGAAACGGCATTTTAACAAGGCCCCAGGTAATTGGTATGCAAAATGAAAGTGTGAGCAGCATTGGATAGACCATGTCACCCCCCTGCTCAAAACCCTTCCATGGCTTCCTGGTGCCCTCCAAGTAACATTCAGATTCCTGACTGTGGCCATCAAGCCCTTATGGAGCCTGGTCTCTATCCCCACAGGTCCCCACCCCTTCAGTTTCTCGGTCTTTGGTTTCTCTTTCTGTTTTTTTCTATTTTCTCCCCAGTTCACTCTCACCACTCTCTCTTCTGGCAAGGAAAGACAGCGTTTGTTAGTCAGACCTTCAATTGAATGATTATTTGATTAATTTTCATTTTCTTCATTTTCATTTTCATTAATGATCATAAATTCCATGAAAGCAAAAGCCATGTCAATTTTGCTCATCATTTGTCCCCAAGACCGAGAAAAGGGTCTGTGCGTAGGAGATGCTGTGTTTGTTGAATTAATAAATGGTTAAATAAAGGAATGAACGCATGTGTCAGATTCATGCTTACTTTTGTGCTTTTGTCCATACTGTTGCCCCACATAGAATTCTCGCACCATCACCTATCTCCCACCTGCCCAATTGCCCCAGCCCACCCTGGTCTGCTTGATCTTGGGCTCTTACAGTCAGAACCAGGTACTTCACTGCTCTTCACTTGTTGTGACTTTGTTTGCTCATGGGTTCATTTGTGACTCAGAACAGCAACAGTAAAATCTGGATGTAACTACAAAACAGTGATTTTGTGATTAACCAGTGTGCCACAAGAATTCTTAAAACATGCAATACTAAATAGTCAGTACTATTTAGCCAGGGGCACTGACCTCTTTTCCCTTAGATTGTCAAATAAAACAATGACAACAGACAACACAACAATAGTCTGGTGTTCGAGAATCAAAATTATTAAACTCGTAAGTCAAGGCCCCACTGTACTATTTAGTCAGGGGCACTGACCTCTTTTCCCTTAGATTGTCAAATAAAACAATGACAACAGACAACACAACAATAGTCTGGTGTGAATGAATCAAAATTACACCTGTTTTTTGGTCAGATTGGCAACAAATACAATACATATTTTGGTGTGCCACAGAATGTTAACATAATTAATTTATGTGTGCCATGAGATGAAAATAGAACAAGGTGCTTTCCTAAATGTTTTTCTTTAGCTCGAAGATTGTCTTCCTTTTGCCTATGATGAATTTTCTGGCATAATTGCTAAAGCCTTGGTTTTCATTTTAATGTGTGTGGCGGTTTTTTTTGCTGCTATAATTTTTAATATACATTTTTAATTTTATTAAATTTATTGTTAATGATCTTTTTATATTATCTTTTTTATTGTTTCTCTCTCTGTGTCACACACACACACACACACACACACACACATACCCCTAGGAAGCCTGTACTAATTTCCTTCTAAATATTTTGAAACTTATTTAGACTCTCTAAGACTCTAATTTGGGAGTGCTTTCCCACCTTCCCAGAAGAAAATTGTAACTGTTGAAAATATAACTATGAAATATATACAAAATAGTCAAGTAATCTGTGTCCCCTAACTTCTCTTCCCTTCCCTTTCTTTCTCTCCCTCCCAACTTAGACATTCTGGGCAACACCACAGTGAGACAGGTTTAAGTAAGAGCTCTTAACACAAGGACTTCTGATATTCGGCTCTTTGTAGACTGGCAAACTGTGGTAGCCAAAGCCTTCTTTTTATTTTGGGGAAACCAGATACTATACTGCTCAGCAGAAAGCAAATCTTTTGCTTTGATTTTAAAAATAAAGTCGGGGCCTGGCGGACATGTCTCAATGGCTAGGTGTAGACCTGAGTCAGGTCACGGTTCGATTCCTGCTTGGGGCGAATGCCTGGGTTACGGGCTTGATTCCTGGTGTGGAGCATGGAGGAGGCAGCCCATTAATGACTCTCTCTTGTCATTGATGTTTCTGTCTCTCTCTCTCTCTCTTATTCTTTGAAATCAATAAAAATATATATATTTTTTAAAAAGTTGGGCCTGGCCAGTGTGGCTCACTGGTTGAGAATCAAAGCAGGTCAAAGGTACATGCCCTTGACCGGAATCGAACCTGGGACTGTTGAGTCCGCAGGCGAACGCTCTATCCACTGAGCCAAACCGGTTAGGGCTTTTGCTTTGATTTTACAAATAAAGTCGGGCCCGGCGGACATGTCTCAATGGCTAGGTGTAGACCTATGAGTCAGGTCATGGTTCGATTCCTGCTTGGGGCGAATGCCTGGGTTACGGGCTTGATTCCTGGTGTGGAGCATGGAGGAGGCAGCCCATTAATGACTCTCTCTTGTCATTGATGTTTCTGTCTCTCTCTCTCTCTCTTATTCTTTGAAATCAATAAAAATATATATATTTTTTAAAAAGTTGGGCCTGGCCAGTGTGGCTCACTGGTTGAGAATCAAAGCAGGTCATGGTTTGATTCCAGGTCAGGGCACATGCCTGCTCTATCCCCAGTGGGGAGCCTGCAAGAGGAAGCTGATTGATGTTTGTCTCTCATCGTTTCTATCTCTCTATCCCTCTTCCTTCCTCTCTCTAAAATAAATATAAATAAATAAATAGATAGATAAATAGAAAAAATAGAGTTTGAGCCATCCTATTGCTAAGATGAGTCCCACCCTTCTGAATAGTCCCCTAAATCTAGCACCTAAGATGAAACAAAAACCTCCAGAAGATAAAATATTTTTTGCAGAACACACATGAAATACCTATGTAGTAAGTTAAAAATAACTAAAAAAATAATTTTATTCTAAATCTGATACCACTTAATGTCAGATGCCAATGTGCACAAAGGGCATCAACACCTAAAGCATAAAAATACACATTAAGTGAAAACTTTAACGTTAGGAAGATTATGCACCTCAACTGCTTTCTTTCCCTCTTCAAATGAGAAAGATCGCCATTTCTCTAAGCCCTGAAACAATGAACGCAGTCAAGATGCTTACCTGAAGAGAAGTAAAAAAGACCAGCCAGCACCAAAGACTGAAAGAGCTTGAGGTACGAGCGCCTGGAGGGTAGTGTTCTCCACTTTGTTTGACCCATGGCTTCTGTTCCTTACAATGAAAAAATGAAAGCAAACAATTTTGCACCAAGCGAGAACTGGGCACCTTCCAAGCGAGTCCCAGGCTTGTGCAGAAGAAATTCAGTTGCCTCACACAGAGGACTCAATTGCAAAACACACTGAGGAGAGGCTGATGATGTACCCAGGTCTTTAAAATCCCGAATATAAAAGATTGTGGATTTATTCTGACGCCCTGAAAAAGAAGAAAATAAAAGTCACCCAGGAAGGAAGGTCAGTCCACTGTGGCTTGTAAAACTCTCTAGTTGCCTGCCTAAAATAATTTGGGGATCCTAAACTGAGCCTGCCTGATCCCCTAACCGCCTTTGCCTCGGCCCCTGCGCCCAGGACCCAGGCTTTCCTCTTTCGGGTGGCTTTGCCCGGGCAGGCAACCGGGACCCCGGGTGGCTTTGCCCGGGCAGTTACTCGGAACCCCGGGTGGCTTTGCCCGGGCAGGCACCCGGGGATCCTGGGCGGCACCCCCTGGGTCCTGGCTTTGTCAGGAAGGATGTCCGGTATGACATCTGGTCTAATAAACATATTACCATTTTATTAGTATAGATTGTGGTGACATTGGCTTGTGAAACCATACAAGTTTCAAGTGTACAACTCAATAAAACATCATCTGCACAGGTCACTACATAATACTACAAGGATCAGTACAACAGAGGATATAATCCTTGTATACCGATATGCACCCAACATAGGAGCATATAAATATATAAAGAAATTCTTGGTGAACATTAAAGAAGAGATTCATAGCAATACAGTCGTAGTAGGGGGTTTGAACACCCCACTGACATCAGTGAATAGATCTTCCAGACATAAAATAAGGCAAATGACATGCTAGATTTGGTAGATTTACTTGATATTTATAGAATATTTCACCCCAAAGAAGCAGAATATATGTTCTTCTCAAGTGCACATGGAATAGTCTCAAAGACAGATCACATGTTAGGACACAAAGTAAGTCTTAATAAACTCAAGAAGATTGAAATTATATTAAGCATCTTCTCTGGCCACAATGGTATAAAGCTAGAAATTACAATAAAAAGAACACCCTAAAAACATTCATACACATGGAGACTAAATAACATGTTATTAAACCATGAATGTATTAACAATGAGATCAAAGAAGAAATAAAAAGTTACCTGGAAACAAATGAAAAGGAACAGACAACAACCCCAAATCTATGGGGCACAGTGAAAGCAGTCCTAGGAGGGAAGTTCTTAGCACTACAGGCCTATCTCAAAAGGCAAGAAAAGCCCTGGCCAGAGTGCCTCAACGGTTAGAGCATCAGCCTGCTCACCTGATGCTTGCAGGTTCCAATCCCTGCCCCCACTGGGGTACATGTGCGAGGCAACCAATTGATGTGTCACATAGATGTTTCTCTCCCCTTTCACCCCACCCTTGCACTCTCTCTAGAATCAATGGAAAAAATATCCTCACTCCTCAGGTGAGGATTTTTTTAAAAAGTAAGAAAAATCTCAAACAATCTAAACCTACTACACCTAAAAGAACTAGAAAAATAACAACAAAGTCCAGAGTAAGTAGAAGGAAGGAAATAATAAAGACCAGAGCGGAAGTAAATAAATGATACAGAGATTAACCAGATTCATCAAGAAAAAGAAGGGAGGACCCAAATAAATAAAATCAGAAACAAAAGAGGAGAAATAACAACTTACACACCAGAAATACAAAGGATTGTAAGAAAATAATATGAACAACTATATGCCAACAAATTGGACAACCTGTGCAAAATGGATAAATTCCTAGAAACATACAATCTTTCAAAACCGAATCAGGAAGAATCAGAAAACCTGAATACAGTACACTGATTACAACTAATGAAATTGAAGCAGTAAAAAAAAATTTCCAGCAAACAAATGTCCTAGACCACAGATGAATTTTATCAAACATTCAAAGAAGAATTAACACCTATCCTTCTCATTCTATTCCAAAAAATTTAAGAGGCAGGAAAATTTCTAAGCTCATTTCACAGGGCCAGCATTATTCTAATTCCAAAACCAGATAAAGACACTATAAGAAAAGAAAATTATAGGTCAATATCTCTAATGAACATAGATGCTAAAATCCTCAAAAAAATATTAGCAAACAGATCCAGCAATACAACTAAAAGATCATACTACATGTTCAAGTAGGATTCATTCTGGGAATACAAGGTTGGTACAATATTCGCAAATCAATAAACATGATACATCACATAAACAAAATAAAGGTTAAAAATCACATGATTATATCAATAGATGCAGAAAAAGCATTTGATAAAATCCAGTACCTACTTATGATAAAAACTCTCAGTAAAGTGGGAATAGTGGGATGATACCTCAACATTAAAAAGGATATAAATGACAAGCCCATAGCCGACATCATACTCAATGGGCAAAAAGTAAAAGCGTTTCCCTTAAGATCAGAACAAGACAGGATTGCTGGCCTTCACCACTCTTATTCAACATAGTACTGAAAACGACTTCCTTCTTAACATATTAACATAGAAAAACAAGTGTCTCAATTCTTAAATACCTCTTCGCAAAAAATAAATCAACAGAAAATCTATTAATAAAAGGGGAAGAGAAAAGACATAACAAGCTATCCCATATTAAGATAATAGTAAATTTACTTACGCTGAAGAACAATTTCTCTTTTTCTCTTGTGTTGAAAATTAAAGTAGGAGGACCCACTTCTGAGATGTTCTCGTTTGGGTAGCTTGAAATGCTGTCAAATTGCTCAGTTGTACTTTAAGTTCTATGTCACAGAGGCGGCATTCCCCTTCCAACTTCCTCTTACTCGAGTTTTCCATCAGGCATAATTAAATAAAAGCACAAGGTATGGTTATGATGATATGATTTGAGGAAGCTCCCGAGCTCAGTCAGTTTCTTAGACTGATGGGTGGGGCCAACCACACACTGTCCTAAGAGAGCAGCGGGTAGCGTGGGGGAGGGAAGAAAGTGGTTGGAGGGTTGACTTTTGGCAGTAGATGCTTGTGAGCTTTATGGGCTGCCTGCTTCTGTTCTAATCCCAAGTTTTGTTTTAGCACCTAGAGTTATCCCTCCCTAGTCTCAGTCATGCCACTGAAGGAATGGGCCATCATATGTAGTGGACATCTTTTGGAGAGTACTCAGCTCATAAGGCCACTCTTGATTGCATGCTCACCTCTCCATCCCACCCTCTTCACAGCGTGGGCTCCTGGCAGCCATGGTGGACAGTGTCTCCCTAACCACGGCTGAATGCACCTCAGGGGAGCACAATGACAGAACCAAGGCATGGGGTGAAGAGGATTTAGCCCAGGGGTGGGCAAACTTTTTGACTCGAGGGCCACAATGGGTTCTTAAACTGGACCGAGGGCCGGAACAAAAGCATGGATGGAGTGTTTGTGTGAACTAATATAAATTCAAAGTAAACATCATTACATAAAAGGGTACGGTCTTTTTTTTTTTTTTTTTTAGTTTTTTTTATTGCAAACGGGTCGGATCCGGCCCGAGGGCCGTAGTTTGCCCACGGCTGATTTAGCTTCTCATCCATCCCATTTCCAACCAATCCCATTGCCAGCCAGCTTGCTGTGGTTATGTCCTCTGTAGAGTTCCGGAACATTCTGTGGGTAAACGGGCGGCCCGTGCTAATCCAGCTGACCTGTTTCGCACAGGTAGAACCTGACAGCAGCGCCTGCCTGGGCCGGCACCTTTGACTGCTGTTGGCCCTGAGCTTCTCTGTTGCTTTGGCTTGGACCTTTGGAAGTTTTGCACTCAAGTGTGTGCAGTCTGAAAATATGGGAGGAGTTAATGCCTATGGGGCCAGTCTTAACCAAATGGGGCTAGAAGGTGATGGATAACTGCTTTCCCCTTTGTCACCCAGGTGGAGAGTGCCAAGGTACATGGTCAAAACTCACTGAACAACACACCAAATGAGTGCATTTCATTACATGTAAATTGTATCTCAAAAAAATTTTTATTTTATTTTTAAAAAGCTCTCAGGCCAAGTCTAGGTCATTACAGCCAGAAAAAATAGGCATAGCAAATAAAAAATTTGAGTAGGTATACAAAATATATTAATGATAATAGAAAAAATAAAATGGAATAACATTGCTGAGTCACTTAAAAAGAGTCAGGAGACAATTAAGGAAATGAGGCCCATGGAGTTTGGTGCCTCAGTTCTCAGAGCCACTGATATGTTGCTAAACCTGCTGCTAAACTCAGCTCCAGGCTGAGCCATAAACATCCTGGAACCACTGTTACATGGACATAAGTGGACTCTACCTCTTTGGAGTTTTGAAACCCCCTAGTTTGCATATTGGACTAATCAATCCCTGTTAACCTCGCCAGAAATCCTTCATTTGCATGAAAAAATTACATTTTGTGGTTTTTGCCTTAATCTGGACTAATCAATCCCTGTTAACCTCGCCAGAATGCATGAAAAAATTACATTTTGTGGTTTTTGCCTTAATGAACCCTGCTTTTCTTTGATCACTGTGGCATAGTTTGGGCTGCTCCTTCATAGGCTGCGGGAATTGCACCAGTGTTAGATGGGTGGGGTCAGACTGCCCCTGGGTTCAGCATCCTCCATACTTGAGTCTGGCTAGGAAAGAATTCAGAGCCAAGACTCCATATTTATTTATAAAATCACAGAGGTAGAAGTAGTAATTTGTAGATGAAATGGGCTTAGGAAACAAGTTACAGAGGTAGAGGAAGGGCCCTGGGAGCTTGGGAGTAAGGAAGGTAATGGTAATGCCTGGGGGAGGGAACGGGGAGATGGGAGGAGGAAGGGAGAGCATGCTGGGTCCTCTGAACTAAGGGTCTTAAGGGTGGAGATTTTAGGGGAGATCTGAGAGGATGATCTCAATAGAATATTCAGCAATTTTCCGGGTGTGCCCTCTGAGGGTCTAGGTCTCCTCTGATTGATTGGTTGGTGCCTGGGCAGGGGGTCATTATTCAATGCAGCTGGTCCTGAGGTCAGCCATGGGGATCTCCTCTCTGGTTTTGTTGCTTTTCTAGGCCTTGAGCTCAAATACAACTGAGGCCTAGAGCTTGTCTCTAGGAAGGGAAGGTTAGGGGGTCCAGCAGGACCATTGATTTGCTAGGGGAGGAAAGGTCCCCCTGGGGGTGAAGTCCCACCCTCCAATTGTCCCTTGGTACGAACCTGGGGCTTTCTGCCCTGGTGACCTCTGTACCTGGCCCATAGTCCTTGCTCTGTTACTGTGTCTAACTGCCTGCCACAGATTTTTTTTTTCCAGATGGGTAGAGATACTTTTATAAAACGATAATAACCACATTTCGGATACAATTTTAAATTTGATTTTACTTGAATTTCACTAAAGAGAAAGACAAGTTGATGGAATTGCTGAATTCATACAAATATTTCCTCTAGACAAGAGGCACTTCCCCTAAAATATCCCTTCAAGACTAAAAAAAAAAGAAACGGTGAGAACATTAAAGGTTGCAGTCATGATTATTCTCTCCAAGGACAAATTTTCATTTTTGTGTGTCTAGATTGACTTCTTGCTGTGAAAGATGAGTGCGTTGGCCCAGCCACACTGGCGTGAACACGCAGTTCTGAAAACATTGAAGCCCTCTGTACCAGTTGGTAAATACCAGCCACTGCTCTCCCCAGGGCTCGCCCTCTCTCCTGGCTGCCCCCCCCCGCCCCCCACCAGGACCAACCCCGACCCCCATCTCCTACAGGGGAAAGGAACTCGGGTCGTCTCCCAGCCTCTTCTACACGCACCACTTCGCCCCAAGCAGCTTCGTTCCCATCAATTTTATATAATGGCCGCAGGTAAGGCTTTGTTTGCAGAAAATATTCAGTGTGAAAACCATTTGAAAACCCCTGCTCAAGGTCCGCACTCAGGCCCTTGCAAGTCTGCAGTCTGGAATTTCCGAGAATGGACCTGCCACAGATTTTTGTCTCCTTTTGCTCAAATAAATGCTCTGTTCTTTATTCTAGCCTGAACCTCTTCTTGGTACACATATATGTTGATCCTTTTTTTTTTTAAACTGGCACATTCAGTTATTTAGACAAAAGTACTCTTAGTATTTCTGTGCTTTTATTAACTAGCAGGATGAAAAAGTAATATTCAGCTGCCAAATAAATGACAACAGTTAAAATTAATCCTAGCAACCACCCTAGGGAGTACTAACTATTCTTGTCCGCTTTCATGGGCGAGGGGCCCAGGAAGTTGAAAAGGGCCCTTTTTCTAAATATTTGGCTACATAGCCCGGCAGGAAGAGGCCTCGGCCCGGGGCCCACGTGAGTCACCGACGG